GTGTGTGTGTGTGTGTGTGTGTGTGTGTGTGTGTGTGTGTGTGTGTGCTTATAAATAAGGTTTTCTTATGGCTTTTCCAAATGTTTGTAGTGTAAGTTATTTCTCCTTTAGCCTTCTCTTTTATATTACCTTCCCTTTCTTCTGCCCAGTTAAGTCTACCCTGTTTTTCCTGTGTGTTCAGTTTCTTTGTTTACTTTTCTAGGCTCCTCTGATCTGAGTAATCTTTTTGTATTTTCCTACATTCTGTAGTTACTCCCACATATACAATCAAGTCTAAGGATTTGGAGCTAAAAATCCACAAATAAGATAAATCAGGCAATGTTTGGCTTTGGGGGATCTGGATTTCCAGACTCAGTATTTTCCATTTTGATCTTTTTACCTAAAAACATCATAAAATCAGAAGATACTATGCAAGATGGAAAGTAAAAAAAGAGGAAGGTAATCAATAATCTTAACCAGATGTAAATCTTTAAATCTGTAACCATCACAGTTGGCAAGATATCCCCAATGATACAATAGAACTAATATCTTAAAGCTAACCAATAGGTATCTAATTGTCTTAAGGTCCACTGAATAGGAAAAAAAAAAAATCATCCCTGTAAACATAGACAAATGAATGAGGGAGGTGGCTACAGCTGTGATACAAAATGAATAAACTGTAATTAATATAAAAAAATAAAATAAAAATAATTATTAGAGAAGTCAGGAATTAAAGAGGAGATGATAGGAAAATAAGAGAACATAGAGGAGAAGAGGGAGAAATAGATGTGAGCTTATTTGAAACTCAATAATTTCTAAAAAATTAGAAAAATATTCTAATAAATAACAATGGAAAAGAAAAAAATACCTTTTTTGTCTTTTTGAAAATTCTTTTGGCATGGTTTCAGTTCATTAAAATTCATCTTCTCTTAGAAGAAAAATCATTTGAGCAGAATTCTTAATATGGTAAACAACAAAAAAATAAAGTATGTTTATGACACTGTTTCCCAGGAATGGCTTGGTTTGTTATAAAAGTTTCATTTCATGCATGAATATACCCAGCATTTTATAGCTGATATTCTATTTACTTATAGGTATTTTACAGGAAGAAAAATACTTCCTACATGTGTTTTTTTTTTTTTTCTTTATTTAGGAGGAACTGAAGTGAGAGGTACTAACATGGAGATAAAACAGAACATCCTAAACTTCCTTTCCATCTATCGGCAGACTTATTCAGAAATATAAAAAATTCATAAGGTAAAAATTTCACAAAGTAAAATTATGCCTATACCATAATCCCTTCTCATCTTTTTTCAGTGCATTAAGGTAGAGCTGTTACAGAAATATTCAACCACCTACCAATGCCACTTTTGGTTCTCCAACCCATAGATTGGAGGGTATTTTTATCTTAAATTTATTTTTATTATTTATTCACTTTATATCCCAGTTGTAACCCCCTCCCTCATCTCCTCCCAGTTCCACCCTACTTCCCTCTCCCCTCTATTCCTCTCCCCTACTCCCCAGAAAGGTGAAGACCTCCTCCCCTACCATCTGAACAGAGCCTATCAAGTCTCATTTGTATTGCCTAATAATCCTCCTCTGTGGCCTGGCAAGCATACCACACACCATGGGGAAGTGATCAAAGAGCAGGCAACAGAGTTCCTGTCAGAGACAACCCCTGCTACCCTTACTAGGGAACCCAAATAGAGACTGAACTGCCTATTGGCTGCATCTGAGCAGGGGGTTCTAAGTCTGATTCATGTGTTGTCCTTGGTTGGTGCATCATTCTCTGCAGGTCCCTGCTGGTCCAGACTTTAGGTCTGCTGGTCTTCTCTTGGAGCTCCTGTCCACTCTGTGTCATTCTATTCCCCTATTCATTCTTATGGATGAAAAGTTTGGCTGTGAGTCTTAGCATCTGCTTCAATCCCTTGTTGGGTGGAGTGTTTCAGAGGACATTTATGAAAGGTTTCCAAATTCTCTCTTCAATAACTTCCAGTGTGTATTCTATTTGCCTTTCTGAATGAGAATTAAGCACAAACATAAGTCCAAATGGATTAAAGACTTCAACATAAGAGCAGACACATTAAATCTGTTAGAAGAAAAAGTGAGAAAGAACCTTGAAAGCATTGGCACAGGAGACAATTTACTGGACAGAATACCAAGCTCTCAGGCTCTAAAATCAACAATCAATAAATGGGGCCTCCTGAAACTTAAAGCAAACTGTAAAATGAAGGACATGGTCAACAGAATAAAATCACACTTATAGGCTTGCTGTATACTGCCTTTACTATGTTTAGGTATGTGTCTTGTATCCCTGATCTCCCCAAGAATTCATACATTAACGGGTGTTGGGTTTTGTCTAATGCTTTTTTTTTTGGCATCAAAGGAGATGATCATGTGATTTACTTTTCTTTCAGTTTGTTTATATTGTGGATTGCATTGATGGATTTGCTTATGTTCAACCACCCCTGCATGCCTGGAATGAAGCCTACTTGGTCATGGTGGATGATATCTTTGATCTGTTCCTGGATTTGGTTTGTGAGTTTTGAGTATTTTTGCATCAACAATGTTCATAAGGAAAATTGGCTTAAAATTCCTTTTTTTTTTGGGGGGGGGGGGGGGAGTCTTTATGTGATTTAGGTATCAAGGTGTCTGTGTGTCACAGGATGAGTTCGGTAATGTTTCTTCTGTTTCTGTTTTGTGGAATACTTTGAAGTGCATTGGTATTAGCTCTTCCTTGAAGATCTGCTAGAATTCTTCGCAGAAACCACCCTGCCCTTTGCTTTTTTTTGGATGGGAGACTTTTGATGACTGCTTCTATTTTCTTAGGAGGTATAGGACTATTTAATTAGTTTACATGATCTTGATTCAACTTTCATAAGAGGATTCAATTAAGAAAATTATCCATTTCATTTAGATTTTCAAATTTTGTGGCATATAGGCTTTTGAACTAAGACATGATGATTCTTTGGATTTGCTCAGTGTCTGCTGTTATGTCCTCCTTTTCATTTCTGATTTGGTTTATATGAATAGTGTCTGCCTTTTAGCTAGTTTGGTTAAGGGTTTTTCTATCTTGTTGATTTGGGGATGTGGGGAGTGGGAGGAGTTCAAAGGATGGCAGCTGGAAGAAGGTAAAGAGATGAAAGGGATGGAGGTATTAATGTAATCATATTTAAATTACAAACATTTTTAATTTTTAAAAAAAATATTACTTTTAAGTACAACCTAGAAGGAAAAATGTTTCTTTGAGACCAGTGTCACATTAAAACCAAAACAAAGATAAAGACACTTATAAAAGAGAAAACTATGACTTGATATTCATCACTAACACAGACACAAAATGTTTCTGCAAAATGTTAGCAAGTTGAATTCACAATGTATGTAACACGTAAAGATAAACTGGAATTCATCCTTAATGTTTAAGACTTAATAAGCATTAAAATATCTGACAACCAGCACATGAATAAGACAAAGATCAGTCATAAGATCAAAATAGCAGATAAAAAAACATAAAGACTAGTACTTGTTCACAAAGAAATCAGCACTTTATCAAGAGCATCTAGAAAACACTTATGGATAAAATCATTCTTGTATAAGATTGGAGTGTTGATTTATCTGCATTAAATTTTCTAAACCAGCATAATCCCTAATAGTAGTCTGCAAATATGTGTCCTTATAACCACAGATAAATGTAGTCTTTACCCTTCATCAATGACATTTCTCTTTGTAACAGAGGTGCATAACAATCGATAGAGTTGTGGAGCACAGTTCCAGTGTACACAGCTACAAACAGGCCCTCATCCAAGTCTCCAAGAATGGTGAAGAAAGAGAGGAGACACTGCATGAGCCAGAGGATCAGAGACCTTGCTGATGATATGCCTGTCATGTTTAGATAAGCTCTAGAAATGTTATGATTTTTTAATGTTTTCTACAAATTATGTACAAATTGTTGCTAAGCCAGAGCTACACAATGAAGTCAACTGATTCTTATCTGTGAGTCCACAGCCATACAAACATACTTTTCATAGAATCAGAAAATCTACCTTGCATCTTTACACTTAACCCATGAGAATATCTGTATCAAGTATTTTGCCTATGTGAGGATATTGAAGCAATGTATGTCCTTATGTAAGATTTGTGGGTTTTGCAGTTAATTGGAATGAAAACATGAATTCAGTATGTGTTGAACATGATTCATGATTTGTCTATGATTTCAACAGAAATCATATTACAGAAAAACAGGACAGCAATTTAAATGTTAAAAAAAAATCCTTACAGGAAATGTAGTGCTTTTACCTGAATGTTGCAATTTCTAGATAAATTTAGATAAAGGAGGTTTTGAATTTTTCTATTCATCTTTAATTATTCAATGCAAAGTACTTAAGATCACTTCAGGTAATTAACTGCAGGTGTCTGTCAAGCATCAGTCAACCCTGTTACACACAATTAGAAGACAGACAAGAACATCACCATGGCTCCTGAAGGTTCACCTTTCACTTTGGGAAGCAGTGGGCTCTTAAGCCAAATCCTGAAGTAGAAACTGGGCAAGGTGTTCACTGTGCTCACAGCACTGTTAGCTGTAAAATGCCCTGGAGTGCACCACATTTCTTCTGGGCTATTGAGAATTTACAAGCAGACTGCCAAAGACAGACTTCCTGCAATCAATTCATGCAAGTTACAGCTCTGGATATTGGGAGTTTTATAGTTGTTATTGTTATAATTGTTATTGCTTACCCCTAAACTAAATTTTAGGATTACTGTTTTGGCACAGAGTAAAACCTCTTTTCATAAAAAAATTAAAAATTACTTCTAAAACAACAAATGTGTTCAAAAGATACACAGAAGTAGTAATATTTACATCACATCAAAAAAAAAGTTCTAAAGGAGGTTGATAACGTTTATTCACATTTTCAAGTTTCTTACGATCTAAGAGATTATAAAATATGAATTCATTCCTGAGCTGCAGTTTCATGGGATGTTTTAAGATTAAGTGGAAGGTATGTAGACAGTGTACACTGTAGCAGGTTGTTAAGACACAGCACAGACTCTATGGCTATTAAAGTGGCAACACAACAGTTGTTATTTCAGTTTACATTTAAATGAATAAAAAATTCAGTGAAACATAACCCTAAGCCTCTTCTTCTTCTGAGTATCCAAGTAGCAAAAACATTGAATGTTCTCCAACAGAGTACACTCAACTCACCTTTCTAGCTTTCCTTTTCAAATCCTCACATTTCTAATTTATGTGAGGAGAATCAGTACACTGCAACTTCTATACAAACTAAAAATGTATAAATGCAAAATGAGACATATTAGGTTATACAAAAATCACAATATTTTATCCATCACTTTTATAAAACTATAATAGAAAGGTAGCATGCATATATATATATATATATATATATATATATATATATATATATATAT